ATACTGGCATGTTAATAATGGCAAAGGATTCCCAACATTTGTACAAAACAATTAGTGCTGGGGGGATAGTTTTCTTCCAGGGCTGGAGTGATAGCACAGCGGGTACGGCGTTTGCCTTGCACGCGGCCAACCCCGGTTCGATTCCTCTGCTCCTCTCAGAGAGCCTGGAAAGCTACCGAGAGTATTTTGCCCCCATGGCAGAGCCTGGCAAGCTACCCGCGGTGTATTCGATATGCCAAAAACAGTAACAAGTCTCACAATTTGACAGTTTCTTCCAATGAAAAATTAAAAGCAATCTCTTCTGTGTAACTAACAATTATGTATGCTGGAATAAAATTTAAAATTTGGAAAAATGTAGAAAAGATCACCTACGAGTGTATCATCAGGGCCAGAGGTACAGCAAAACGGTTTAGGTGCTTGCTGTGCATGTGGCCAACCGGGGTCCCCTAAGTAATGCAGGCAACAACTCCCCACCACAGATCCGAGAGGAACCCTGGAGCAACGCCCTGTGCAGACCAAAACACTTCTCCCAAATAATAGTGAAAAATAAAAGTATGCTCTCAAACAAATCTAACTGCCGGAGGAACTTTTCAAATTTTACCTTAAAGGCAAAATAAAAAGAAGTTCTCAATTAAATGAATGGATTTCAATAGCTCTGTCTAAAATTATACCCGCTACTGTGGGAATCCTGCTTTAGGAGACCTCTCTCATAATCTGGGAGCTTCCCGGTTTTATGCTCCCATTCTTTTTGGTTCCCTAAAGGCTTCTACTGAATTCAGCCATTCAATCTGCACCTTCTTTCAGTTTTGAAAGGGTGAGACGAGAAGCTGACTTCTGGGCCCCTTACAACACTTGGCAAAAGCCAGTCAGAGAATGCCATGGTTGCCATTGTCATCATTCACCAGAGTAAACTGGCTGGATTCAGTTTGCCATTTCTCTCTCAAGGCTATCTCTCTCCGTCCTCTGTGCAGCATAGCAGACAGCAGCAGCTCGTCCTGGGAGAACTTATGCAGGCTTGCTATCTGCTCTCTCTCTCTAATGACCACTTTTCTGGTGGTGGCAATAAAGTGGGTACCAGTGGGTACCAGTACCAGTGGGTACTGATACAATCTTGCCCCAGACTCCCTTTCTGTCCTGTTTGAGGTGCTTAGTCACTGCAAAAGGACCACTTGACTCTCCTAACTCTGATAATGTTTCTTTTGCATCTTCCTTTCAGAGTCTCCAGGAGTAAAATGCAGGTTCCCAGGACAGTTGAAGTATGCTGGGGACATTCTTTCAGGGATTCCCAAAGGGCCTCTAGGTACCTCATAAGAAACCTGAGACTGGGGTAGGTGGAGAATCTGTTTAGTCTCTCTTTCTCTTATCTTCAATATGATCCTAAATTTGGTGTTTGACCTCCACTGACCATCTTTTTCTCATTCCCACAAAACAAGGAAGGAAAGAAGGGAGGGAGGGAGGAAGGGAGGGAGGGAGGAAGGAAGGAGGAAGGAAGGAAGGAAGGAAGGAAGGAAGGGAGGGAGGGAGGGAGGGAGGGAGGGAGGGAGGGAGGAATTTGTTCCCCCCAATCTGTAAGCTATTGGTCATGAGTGGCTACTAGACACTAAACAAAAATTGACACGTGCTATATATATTCGTGCACATTGCATGAAGAAAAGTTAAATGTCTCTTGTATTCTTTGTTTTAGAATTCCATTTTTTTGTTTTGCTTTGTTTTGGTTCACACCTGACTATGCTCAAATTTACTCCTGGCTTAGTGCTCAGGGATTACTTCTGGTGGGACTCAGGGGACCATATGGGATGCTGGAAGGTGAACCTGAGTGAACAACATACAAGGCAAACATCTTAGCCATGGTACCATCTAAACAACACTAGACTTGTAACTTTTAGTTAAAAATGTCGAAAACTTGATGAAGTTTATCAGAATTCAAAAGTTCCTATTTCTATGATTTTTATTTATTCCATTTTTGAGCACTGTTTAAGGGTCTCATAAAGTTTTTTAAATTAAGAGCATAGAATGCATCATTCAAATATATGAAATATTAATTAACAATATATTAAATTTAGAAATACAACTTTCACTGTTTAAAATGTAATTAAAGGACTGCTTTTTTTCAATTGGTTCAACCAACTGAAGGTGATTTTTCTTCTTTTACCTTTAGCTCAGTGGTAGACCACTCACCTTTTGCGTATAAGATACAATACCTAGCATCAAAAAAATTACTAGATTTGTACCAAACTGAAAATATTTGTACAACAAGCATTAATAATAAAAAGAAAAAAGGTAAAAAGTTAATATTTCATTCATATTTAGATTGAAAATTAGGTTATATTTACTTACACCAGATAAAAATACTACTTAAATTAAGTTCACTCATTTGTTGTGAATTTTTCTTAGTAAGTCTTCAAAAACTTAATATTATACATGCAGTTCATAATCCACATTCTCATATACCTCAAATTGGATGATATCAATATGAGCCAATTAATGAGTCTAATTAAATTTCTGTAAAATCCCTTCTGGCTTTAGATTTCTGACACCAAGAAATTTCAGTCCCTATGTAAGTTTTACATACGAAGTGATCTGAGTGAAATCTGTTTAGTAATTATTTCATTACTTCTCCACACTTTTCTACCCAGACCGCAGTGCTTTCTCATTTTTTTCCCTATTAATCCAAAATAGCCAAAAAACAAGTTTACTTACTTTTAAACTGCATGGATACTGTTTAAAGAATCATTCTTAATTTTTATTCAGTCATCTTCCCTTTAATACCTATTTTTAATTATAATTTATAAAATTCATTTTGTGAATATAATTTTATGAGTTCATAAAATTTATAAAAATTCATTTTGTGTTTTTTTCCATTTACTATTCATAAAATAGAAGATATTGCTTCAATGGTGCCCTACCTACTGGGAAAAAATATTTGCACACAGTAGATAAAAGAGTAATATCTAAGATATATAAAGTATTCACAAAAATCAACATCAAAATACCCAATAACTACATTAAAATACAGAAAATGAACAGACCCTTTTCAGAAAAAGACAGATAGATAGCCAGTAGGCAAATGAAAAGTATTCAGTGTCACTTATTACAAGGAAATCCAAATTAGGATAACAATGAGATGTCACCTAACACTAATGAGAAGAGTGAACGTCAGAAAGGATAGGAACAAGTTGTGCTGGTGAGATGTGTTGAGAAAAGAATTCACATGCACTGCTGGTGAGTAGCATTATAGCACTGTTGTCCTAATGTTCATCGATTTGCTTGAGCGGGCACAAGTAACGTCTCCATTGTGAGACTTGTTAGCGTTTTTGGCATATCCATAACGCCACGGGGAGCTTGCCAGGCTCTGCCATGCGGACAGGATACTCTTGGTAGCTTGCCGGGCTCTCCAAGAGCGACGGAGGAATGGGGGTATAGCTCAGGGGTAGAGCATTTGACTGCTCGTGAGTATGTTGTCTAATTCAGTCCTTGTGGAAAAAACAGATATTGCTCAAAAATAAACAAAGACCACAACTACCCATGACCTGGCAACCTCACTGCTGGGTATCTTCTCTCAAGATGCAAATCATTCATTTGAAAATATATGCACACCTTTGTTCAATGCAGCACTGACTAGACTGGCCAGGTTATTGAAACAACCCAGTTGCCCAAGAGCAGAAGAGTTGATAATGAAGCTGTGGTATACAGACACGATGGAATGCTATACAGTCAAAAGGAATGATGAAATTTTGCAATTCACTGCAACATGGATAAAACTGGAGGATCTTATGGTAAGTGGAGTAATTCAGAGGAAAAGGACAAACACCAGATATCGTCACTAATCTGTGGCATACAGAATAGTATGCTGAGGGAATGATAGATAACAAAGGCACGCAAAACACTGACTCTAGGTTACAGAAACAAAAGGGACAAGGAAGGAGAAATGGATAGAGGAAATAAGAAGAGGAGATCTGGAAGTAATATAGGGACTAAGGTCAAAGGCCACGGGCCCCTTTGTGGTACAGAAGCAAGTATCTGTATATTTTTAACCACTAGACTCACGATCACGATCACTAGACTCAAGATGATCATAAGCATGGGACCCAAACTATAACAATAAAAGTTTACATGTAGTTCATATGTGGTGGGAGGGAATCTGAGGTCAGTGGTGAAAGGATGGAGACACAATATATTAGGGTTGAAGGTAGGAACATCAGAGATTTTTTTCTTTGTTTTCTGGTGAAGCATGAAAATTTTTATTAAAACTTATTTAGAAAGATGTGAGGGGAGAGAAAGGTGAAGTACATGTTTGAGAGAGAACGCAGGCTTCTTCAAAGTGGAAAAGGCCAAGCAAAGAAACAGAGAGAAGCAAGTAAGATACATGTTCAAGGAAGAACACTGGCTTGAAGAGCACACCTGAAGGTGGGAATTCTGTATACCTGTGTATACCTGAAAACCTACTGCAAACAACTATGTGAGTCTTGGAGTTAAATAAAAATTTTTAAAAAGCAAAAACATAGAAGTATTAAAATCAGAAAACCTTAGAGATCATAAATTCCAGTGACCTCAAATATGTGAGCAGCTTCAGATCACCTGGGAATATGAAAAAAATATTGATTCATAGGTTTACGGTCTAACGATTCTGATTCAGTAGATATGGGATCAGACAGGTTCCTGCATCTCTTATTCAGGAAGCAGACAAGTAGCTCAGAGGCAGAGCGCATGTCTGGGCTTCAGCCCTGGCTCCACAAAACAAGAACAAAATAACACAACAATTGCTCATTCCTTCCCACAGCCTCTAATAATCAAAAAAATAAATACAAGTTTCTTGGTTACTCAGAGTCCCAGTTTGGGAAACAGTGATCTAGTTGAATTTACTTCACTGTAACTGGAGTGAAATGAATTTGCTCCATGTGACAGCCAGTGGACTCAGACCTGGAACCAGTTGTCACTACACTAATTTCAGCTCATTGCCACTGTGGAAAGACATTTTGTCAAACACACACATTACTCACTCTTCAAGAGCTCCAGCAAGCAGGATATCTTCCTTGTCAGTTTTAACATCCAACTCTGGCTCTCCACTAAGCAGAAGCTTCAAATTAAAAACAACCAGCAAAGTACCTAGTAGAAAAGCAGATGTTTGACTTATTAATAATTTCACTCCACAAAATGCTAGACAAGGTGCTACTATCTATAGAATGAATCCTGCTATAGATAAATTTCCTCCTTCACTTCAGGAAAAAATATAGTTTTGGATAAGTTCCAAGATACATCTCTTATAGTAAATTCAATTCTCTGTCAAAAGATGCTGAATTTCTACAGTATGAGGCTTCTTATAACTACTTGATTTCATTGTCTTTCAGTGTGGATTCTTAAACTCTGGTACTTTTTTCATAACTTGCATTGTGAAAATTGCTAGAAGCCTGAGTCAATTTGTATTACAGGCAATGCTCCTATTGACAAAAATTATATCAATATGCATAAAACAAAAATGAATTTCCAAAATTTATACAAATATGAAATCTGTTTTTAGAACTTCTTATAAGTATTGGCAAACTTCCTTTAAAATGGGTCAAGTGATAAATATTTCTGTCTTGCTAACCATATTAATTCAACACAACTGTTCACAAAACATTTCTATAACACAAAAACTATTACAGAGTTTACATGAATGAATGGTGATTCTATTTCAATGAAACTGCATTTCAAAAAAAAGTAAAAAACTGGATTTGGCATGTGGACCATAGTTTTTTGACTCCTATTAACTGTTCTAAACAAGTCAATTTTTAAAAAGTTAATTATTAAAAAAAGGAACAAGGCTGTAACAGAAATTAAAAGAGCAACCAATTACTTTTTTTTCAGTTTGTACTTAAACACATGGGGGGAAAAGATAATGACTAATAATCTGCATATAACATAAATATCTGTATCTAATTCCTGGATCAAAAATTTACTAGTGCAAAGACCCCAAATAAATTTCTTAACCTCTCTGAACTTAAGCCTTCTAATGTATATAGTGGAGCTTATGAAGATGACAAAACATAGAGATGCTTTAAACTTTAAAGGCATTAATTTTTATTAAACATTTACATAATTCTTTAAACATAAAATAATTTTATAATTTACAATTTTATAAAGAATTTTTATAAAGCATGCAGAAAATTATCAAGAAAAGAATACACTTGTCATTATAATTCATATAAACATTTCATAATTAGATGTCAGAGCTCACATTACTATCTTAAAATATTTGATGCATATAATAATAAAATAAATACTAATTAAATTGCTACCATTTTATCTCTATGAGAAAATGGAAATTATAACATACAGCATAACTTAAAAGACAAAATGCATGGGTTAGAAAAGAAAATCTGATAGCATGGGACCAATCAGAGACAAATTTCTCAGAATTCCACTATTTATGTCATATTAATCAAGGAGCTACAAAAAGCAAAAGAGGACATATCATTCTTAAAGTATGGTATTTTGCTTCCAGATATGAAGAAGACAGAAACCAGAGATTAACTTTGGAAATTTTAATGAGACATAGTATATTCAATAGTGTATCAAGTAGAAAGTTGGTGGAGGTTGAGAGAAAATGTCACAAAGCTATTGCTGTCACTTCCATGGAAACTAGCAACAGGCTTGTTACATTAAAAGGTTACATTAACTGGTCACATTAATGTAACCTGTACATTAAGAGCTGCTAACTCTAACAAATCTGGAAGAATCTAATTTCACACAGTGCAATATATATCTTCCAGTTTTGGTACTTGGTGCAGAAACTGTGTATTGCTACCCACAGGTCAGAGCCTTAACATAGTTTCAGTAATTATGCAAGCACAACCCTTTCTCTCAGTGTCAGATTTGAGAGTCAGCTATGTTACTATCAAGACAAAACTGGTATGGATACAATGAGTGAGTAAGCCCATGTGAGATTTCACAAAATAGTATGAAAAAATATATAAAATCACATATATAGTACAATTTATAAAACATAGAAAATATTCTAATCAATTTCTGAATTTTGATGATCTTACCACAATTCCCATAGATTATATCAAACTGTTTCATCAGTTCAGCTTCAGTTTTAAATGGAGAGTACTTATAAATTATAGACAGTTCCACTGACAATTTTTGAGGATCATCTGTAACAGAGTCTCCAGATCTTGTTAACCATGAAGGTATGGGAACAACAACCTACAAATAATAACATAAATACACAAACAAAAACCATCATTATTTTGTCTGTCATAATTCAGTCCATTCATAAAACAAATTCACTGTCACTGTCATTGTCCTCCCGTTGTTCATCGATTTGCTCGAGCGGGCCCAGTAACATCTCCATTGTGACAACTGTTACTGTGTTTGGCATATCGAATACATCATGGGGAGCTTGCCAGGCTTTGCTGGGCGGACGAGATACTCTCAGTAGCTTGCCGGGCTCTCTGAGAGGGGCGGAGGAATTGAACATGGGTCGGCCTGGTCGGCCGCATGCAAGGCAAATGCCCTATCCGCTGTGCTATCACTCCAACAAAAAATCAAAAGTTTACTTCTCCTTTCTAGTCATTATATAAAAAAGAGAGACATATAAATTTGCATATGCAGAGAGTTTTATTCTGAAATGCTCCATTGTAGAATTTGGGGACAGATGGAATCTGCTTCAGCTCCTACTGAAATATGGTAAAATAACATAAGAAACAAAAGTTTATCAGCATTTTAGAAGTTGAAAGTACATGAAAACATATTCAAGAAAACCAGTCCAACACTTATCAAGAAAAGAAAAGGCTCAGCGTGATTTACAATAGAGTCCCCTAAAAGGCTTACAGATTGGTGGGATGAGTTAACTATGGGTCAGATAATAAAATAAGAGAGATAGAAGTAGCATCTAGATTCCCACTTGCTCCTTCACCGCATGCAAAATTATTTACTGTTTATTCTCTGGAAATAGCATGAACAATATTTGGGGATTAGATGACATAACATACACAGTTGTCAGGAGGAGTTATTGAGCTTAGAGAAATCAAGTAGAAGCATATTTGTTGTATGCTGAGGTTTTTCTCCCATTTGGATCCTAGAAATCTGCCAGCTATACTTCAGGAAGAAAACTATAGAAAATCCCAGTTTCACCCTCAGTATACCACAAATGGTCCCAAGAGCACTTCCAGAAATAGAACCTGAGCACCAAACAGGTGTATCTAGAGAGTATCATGCTGAGAAAAGTTGGTCAGAAGGAGAGAGAAAGACATAGATTGATTTCCCTCATATATGGAATATAAAGGAACATAGTAGGGAAATAGTTGCCCAAAGGCAACTTTCTTCAAGTTCAAATATACTGAAATGCAGTAATAATTAAAACATTGTGGTACTGAAATAAAGACAGATCCACAAGATTAATGAAACACAACTGAACACTCAGAAACAAACCCATAGGTATGTAGTCTTAGATAAAGTAGAAAATATGAAGTGAATGAAGGAAAGCCTCTTAAATAATTGGTGCTGGGAAAACTGATCAACCACATGGAAAAAATGAAATCAGACCTCTTTCTAATGTCATGAACAAAAGTCAAATCAAATGCATTAAAGTCCTCCGTATCAGACTTGAATCCATAAGATACATAGAAGAAAACACAGAACTCTCCATGACAATGAAGCCAGTGGCATCTTTAAGAATGAAATGACACTGGCCAGCCAAGTGGAAGGTAAGATAAACAAATGGGACTATATTAAATTAAGAAGCTTCTACACCTTAAATGAAATAATGACCAAATACAAAGACAGCTCACAGACTGGAAAAAAAATGCTTTCTCAGGACTTATCTGATAAGAGGTTAATATTCAAGACATACAGAGCACTTGTAGAACTTGATAAGCATCCAACTACACATAAAATCAGGGAGAAAAGATGAACAGAAACATCTTAAAGAAGAAACACAAATGGTCAAAATTCATATAAAAATGCTTTATATCACTACTGATGAGGGAAAAGCAAATTAAAACAGTAACAATGAATATCATCTCACACCACAGAGACTGGAACTAATCAAAAGAAAAAAAAGCCACCAGTGTTGGTGTGAATGCAGGGAATAAGGGACACTTATTTACTGTTGGTGGAAATGTTGACTGGTCCAGCCTTTTGGGAAGATAATAAAGACATTCTTCAAAGAACTAGGAATTGCACTTCCATATGACCAAGAAATACCATTCCTGAGAATATACCCCAAAGCCCCAAAACCACAATGCAGTCAACACATCTATACACCTATGTTCATTGCAGCACTATTCACAATAGTCAAATCTGCAAACAATGCCCAAGAACAGATGACTGGACAAAGAAGTTATGGCAAGAACACACAGTGGATACTACTCAGCCAAAAGAATCTGCTGATACCTGGACAGGACTGGAGAGTAACATTATGACTGAAATGAGTCAGAGAGACAGGACAGACAGAGATCTCACTCATATACAAGATACAAATAAACATCGTAGGGAAATAAAACCCCAAGGTAATAGAAATGAAGAGCAGGAAAACTGGCCCTTAGTAGGAAGCTAGCCAGCCCTGAGAGTGGTGGTGGTATTTGGTGGGGGGAGGGGGGTGTCGGGGGGGGGGGGGGGAGGGAATGCTCAAGTAGGTCAGGGAAGGGACTAATATGATTCCGATGACTCTGACAGTGACAAAGGGAAGTAGTGACTCTGAACACGGACTAGGTGTTGAAAGGCAGTGAAGTGATGTGCATGAAACCCTTTCATAAAAATATTGAAAACCACAGTGCTTAAAAGGGAGAAATAAATAAAAGTGGAAAAAGTGCCAGCCACAGAGGCATTTCAGGAAGTGGGAGGTTACCTAAGGACATTGGTGGAAGGAAGTGGACATTAGTGAAGGGATTGGTGTTGGCACATTGTGGTCTGAAACTGAATCACAAATAGCTTTTCAATCCTGTAATTCAGTGATTAAAAAAAAACTTTTAAAAGGAACGTTTGCCATCTTCTATGCTTCTCCAAAGTGATAGCAATGTTGGCAATAGTATGGTTGAGTTTGAGACCAATACAATACAGCAATTATCATAGTAATGCAAGTCACATAATTCTGGTGGTTATCCAATATAAAGCTATTCTTACACTGTACTACAGTCTACTTAGTGTGTACACCTTCGTTAAATGTGGCACTTACTTAAAGTGAGCATATGCTGTTGGTAAAGTGATGCCCACAATCTAAGTTTGCGCAGGATTGCTACAAATCTTCACTTTGTGAAACAAAACAAAAGCACAGAATCTTTGAATCACAATAAAACAAAGACGGTACTATTATTACAAATTAGGAGGTTTTGGACCAATGCCTTCAAAATCATCCCAACCCAGAAATAACATCAAGCCATATTAACAGTAAGTGTTCTAGTAGGAATTCTCTTTTCATGTAATTGAGGTCTGTATCAAAAAGAGACCAAACTGAAGAAAGACATGAGATTTAAGATCCGGGTTTTCATAGGAAGAATAGGGAAAAGAATTGCCACAAAGTCAACAAGTTCCTATACCAGAATGGCAGCTAAATGTCTCTTAAGAAAAGCAGGTATTAAAGCTTCAGCACATGAGAAGATTAAAGCACAGATCAAAGATCTTCAGGAATATTAAATAAGCAAGTACATTAAGACTTTGATTTTAACAGTTATAAAGACAAAAGTCCAGCAATTACACAGTGATAGTGATGAGTACATAAAACAAAACACTAAGCAGAAAATTATTAATTCTAGGAGGAAAATTGTGGAGAAAACAAAATAATATTTTGTGACATGGTATAATCGGTGTAATTGTGAGTGGTGTTTATATAGCCTTATAATGTAAGCAGGAAATATGGGCATAATCAAAGTTACTTCTGAGAGATACTGAGGGAGAAGAATGGAAAGTGTGTATGTGCATGTAAGAATAGAGACAGAGAGGGGGGAGAGAGAGAGAGAGAGAGTGAGAGAGGAAGAGTGACAAAGAGAAATTGAGCAGAGAAAAAAGATAAGTGCTCATCTTTTATATTGAGAATTTAATAGATAGTGCCCAAATGAAATCAAAGTAGCAATATAAGCATGTTATATAGAGATGTGCAAGGAAAGATAAAAAGAATCAGATAATTTTGTTTGTTGAAAGATATTTCCTCTGTGGAAGTAATAAAATGGAGGGGACTTCTGGTATAAGATAAAGGTAAATAAAAGGAACTAGACCACTTCAAAAAGCTAAATCTCAGCTTTACCCCAGTTTCCCAGGCCCCTTCATAAAATGGAATACACATGACTGAAGATTAGCTTTTCCATGTGTGAGGGTCCCACTCAGTTACTCCCTACTACCTACAGACTATTTCTGTTATCCATCCCCATAATACTGTAGCGAGTGGGCATGCTCAGTCCTACTAAACAAACTCATGAAACCCTTAAACACATCTGCAAGTATGAGACTTGTCGCTTACATTTTCTTTCCATATACCAACCTTTTAGACTAAGTTGTATTCTCCATAGAAACTTTATTCCTTATTGACCACTGAAGATGCTCTAATCTACAAAGTAGATTTTATAATCTTGCAATAGGAGGAACATATATTCATTGAAAAACATTTTTAATTTAATTTTATTAAACTAAAATGATTCACATAGTTATCTGCAGTTGAGTTTTATACAAGAAAAGCATTATTTTTGAATATTCTTATTTTGTTATTTATCCAATTTGTTGTTATTTGTCTATTTTGTGACAAGACTGAGTACACTTTAATATCAGATGTTCTGTTTCTTTTCTACCTTCCTCGGGGTGGTCAGAGCTGGGTTTCCTCCACATACATCTGCTGTCCAGAATTATGATATTTGTAATGACCAACCATCATCCCTTGGTCATCAACAACATATTCCAACATTTTGTAAATCATACTAAGGAAAAAACAATAAAATACTTCACCTTCTAAGATATAAATGTAAACTTTGCTATTGGAACCCAATAGAGACTTCACCTCTTACCTCATTAAGACCTTCTTTTTCACAGAATGTCTGAGAAAAAAACACACAGGTCATCGTTTCTTTCTTCTTTGTAAAAAGAATAAAGTCTTTTCCAATCCTCATGGATCCACTAAATTAAAAGTCAGAAACATAAATATTTTCATGTCAAACACACAATGGGGGGTATGAATTATGTGCTATAATGGGTTGATTTTTTTCAAAAAAAACTCTTTTGGTGACTCGCCATCAAGAGTGAGAATCACCATCAAGAGAAAATAAAAATTTTTATTTTCTTTAAAGTTGAGCAGATGGGGGCTGGAGTGATTGTACAGTAGGTAGGGTACTTGCCTTGCACATGGCCAACCCGAAGCCAATCCCTGTACCCCATATAGTCCCTCCAACACACTAGGAATTATCTTGAACACAGAGCCAAGATTAAGTCCTAAGATTCACCAGGTATGGCCAAAAAAAAAAAAAAAACAGAAAAAAAGTTGACCAAATGGATTTGATTTAGTCTGGACCTGCATTCTTTCCTGAGATAGGCAGCTGGAGATAGAGTGCTGTGCAGAGCTCAAAAAAGAAACTCATCTGTTCCAGACAGGTGTCACTCAGGTGACAGTAGTCTGGTATCTTTACATTTCATCGAGGCAGAGGAATAAAACAAACTGCAGAGATATATGAAATTTACCCTAATATTTCTTTTGAGAAGCATCCGAACAGAAGGATGTAATGAAGCTCTCTAAAGTCAGGGATGCTGCCTCAGCAATTTCTGAGAGACAATTCATCCCACATTTGAGAACGAACTAAAAATTTCTGTAGTGACTAAAGTCAGGTATGGGTATGAAAATTTTAAATCAAGGCAGTATTCCCAAAGTTATATTTTTTCAGCTTCCAAACATGTATTCCTCGTATAGCATTATCTTTAAATGGAATTCCAATATTAATAATACATAATTTGAAGTAAAATTTTTTTCTCACCTTTTAAGTCCATTGCCATACTGCCCAATAAACTTCAGGGTTGACAGCCGTTTCTTAGACGTTCCAAAATAAATTATATCTGTAGCTTCCTCTACAAATGAAATATGCACTTACAGGTTACGAATTACAAGTCCGTGACACGGTGAAAATTTCATACCTCTTGGTCAGGCCTAAGACAAGAATTCTAATTGAACTCCATAATATGTGACCAGGTTCTTAATAATATAATATAAAGGAGGTCAAACTAACTTAAACAGGTGACCTTGAGTAAGCGGAGTTTAAAACCCTTGATTCTGGGACCAGAGAGAGAGTGGAGAAGTTAAGGTGCTTATTACCACGGAGCTTATAACCAGCTTATAACCAGGAGTATGTCTCAGGCACTACTGATGTCCCCCCCCCCCACACACACACACATGCACACACACACAAAATACACAAACCAAAAAAAAAAACCTCTTGAGACTTAATTTTCTCATTTCTAAGAGAAAACTATATTAGAGGTGTTGATAGAGATAAGTGAAATGAATTAGAACATTGAGTTTGAAAAACCCTTAATGAAACACATGGCCCTTGATGAGAAAATTTGTTTGGCTTGCTTTGGAATTGGAAGTATATGGCCAGAAAGAGTACTGTGGGTAGGGAATTTGCCGTGCATGCGGCTCAACCTTAGTTTGATCCAGGGCACCCCATATGATTCCCAGAAATCTGCCAGGAGTGATCCTTAAGTGCAAAGCCAGGAATAAGCCCTGAGTACAGCTCGGTGTGGCCTCCAAAATAAATCAATGGGAACATCATGTGTTTTATTTGGTCCCCAGTCCTCAGTTCCTGAAAGCACTTCAGAAACAAAAACAAAATTCTATTCCAGACATGAGATAAACTCATTATAACTATTAATTTCCAATTGATTTTCTGTAATTTTTTTCCAGCTCAAATAGCATTCATTTATACAACTGAATGTTGTGTTTCGTGCGGAGACTTTCACGCCTCTTCAAATTTTATGTTACCACAACACAACCACCACTAAAGTACCAGTATACCTCTCCCACGAAATTAAATAACTGATCTCAACCTAGTATGGCTTGATTTTTTGCTTCATTTAGTGAGGGCACGTCCATCAGTGCTCATTGACTACTCTTTGCTTAGTACTTTGGGCTTGCTCCCTGAGGGTCTGAGAGATACAGCTTATAAGGTACTGGAACTGGAACCAGTTCTCAGGCACTTAATGCATAAACATTAGTCCTTTGAGCCATCTCTCTCACTCTAGGTTTTTCTCGAATATTATTATTTTGCAAAGATTTCAAGTTTCTTCTGAAGATCTGAGTATATGTCATTTTATTCAAAGACTCAAAGAAATCAATTTTTAAAAATTTCATTGAATCTCCATGATTGACAGTTATTCGTAGCCAGGTTTTAGACATCCTGTGTTCCAGCACCAGTCTTACTACTAATATTTTCATTCCTTTACGAGGGTTCCCAGGTTTCTCTCACTCATGCCCCCCCACACACAAACACAAACACACCTACCACACACACACACACACACACACACACCCTGTCACTTAAACAGGTACTTTTTTAAAGTGTGTTGAAGTCTGGATGTCTTGTTTCATTGCTGCTGGCTCTGTAATTTGGATATTTAGCTATACCACTAAAAGAGTTACTTCTTTAAAGAAATTGCCTTAGAGTATAACACATAATCTTTTATTTAAAGAATTAGAGAGAATGAATTTAACAATCTAGATGTAAAAATAGAGCTGTTTTTTCAATGTGTTTTTCTCACAGATCATTGTCTGATTTAAACACTAAGGACGCAACAATAAATATCATCAAAATGACCCAGAAATATCAACAATTCCAGACCAAATAGAGAGTGGTATATCTGAACAACTTATCATTTTTGCCAATAAACAGTCTTTATTATCCGGACCCAAGAGGAGGGGCTTCTGAAACTTGAAAGAAGATAATTGCTCACTTTTCATATTTTAGTTTCTATCAGCTCTGCTGATCTTTTCTCTGGCATGGAATTGACTTCCATATTACCATTTTTTAAGACCCAGTGATCAGAACCCCTGGTTTGTGGGACAGACAGTGTAATAAAATGCTGGGACAAACTACTCAAATAACTTCAAAGTTCTTTTCAAAGTGAATAGCATTTCAAATCTGCAGCAAACGGGTATTGGGTACCTAGCACATGGTGGCTTTTGCCACCCTGAAAATACAAAGCGGAGTCATGTAACACATTGTTGATACATTGGATATGAAGGGAACATCCAAGTGAAGCCTCTAGACCTTTAGTCCCACAGAGGAAAAAAGAAGTCAGCCCAGAAATTGTTAGAAATGAAAATGGGTGACCTCTGCCTCAAGGCTAAGCAGAAAATTAAAAATAGCCTACAGGCATTGGAAATTCTTTCGGGGTTCTTGCAAACAATACCTAAAGGGCAATCTAAAAATAAACTTGAGTTCAGACAGTAACTATTTCTTCCCAGATCCGTTTTTATCTTGCAAGTAATAAGTACCTCTGCCTTTCACTTTTATGGCAATATTTCTTTAAATTGAGTTCTTAGCTTGGTATAGACAGTTACAATGAATTCCCTCGTCAGACTTATTTCAGTATGAAAAGTAGAGCAATATGTTAAATCTGGGGTTTATTCTCCTTAATAGTGCCATCCCTGTTTTGGCATAGAGAACTCAATTTATTTATGTTTATTTTATGGATTTTCAGACTATTTTCTCTAACAGCCAGTTAGTTACCCAGATAATTAACTTACCAGGGCTCATACCGCATCCATCATCCAGGAAGCACAGCATGAATCCACCCTGCAGTTTTTCATTATCCACTGTAAAACAGTTATTACTAATAAATATTGGGCTTAATTTGTTCATCAGAAAGGCACGTTGCTCATAGAGTTATTTGTCCTCCTCAAACTCAGCCAGAAAGTGACAGTTATGGCACAGTAATCAAGCACAGAAAGGAGTATTGGCTAGAGTTTCATAGAAAAAAAAAAAAGTAAATGTACGGGGAAAATAAGCACTGTCTGCACTGTCCTTCTGTTGTTCATCGATTTGCTTGAGCAGGCCCAGTAACGTCTCCATTGTGAGACTTGTTGTTATTGTGTATGGCATATTGAATACGTCACGGGGAGCTTGCCAGGCTTTGCCGTGCGGGTGAGACACTCTCGGTAGCTTGCCGGGCTCTCTGAGAGGGGCACAGGAATCAAACCCAGGTTGGTTGGGTCGGCCACGTGCAAGGCAAACGCCCTACCCGCTGTGCTATGCAACACAAAAGGCTTTAGACAAGCATAAAATAAGAATACATTAAAATATACATATTCTATATGACAAGCCCTGCTCTGGAAGTGGACTGACCCTTGAAACTTCAGGTATTTTCTTTAGGACAGAAACCAAAGATGAGGATGTGATCCCAACATCCCCCTATCAAGCTGATCAATGTTTATGCCCTACCACCAGAGTTTCTGGAATCAGCAGAGAGACCATTCTGATGAAATCCTAAGGCTCCTTTCTAAGCAGTTATTCTCCACAAGAACAATTTGTGTGAGCTTCTTAGTGGCAAATATGTGTATCTTGCATATATGTTTGGCTTTTGAAAACAGCTAAATTTATTTGGAACCAATTTGATAGTCATAAATGATCAAATATAATTATTGATATGGTCTCTTGTTTAAAAATATAAATGGGTAATTAAAATTAATTTTAATTTACAATTTGTAGTCTGACTCTCTGAAAGTAATTTTAATAATGGGGTTTGTGAGTTCTAGCATCTTTCTCTCATTCTCTCTCTCTCTTTTTCCCTCCCTCACTTTCTCTCTCTCGGTCTCCAATGTTACAAGTATAGAACCTAGTAAGTTTATCTTATGTTCATATGTATAAAACTATCACTAAAATCAAGGTAGTGAACGTGTCGAAGAAGAAAGCATATCCTTCATCCTCGATGCTTTCCTTGTGTCCCTCTGCTCCCTCTATGCTCTCCCATCAGTCTTACTTCTTCCCCAAGCAACCATTAATTTCCTAATTCTGTCCCTAATGATTCATTTTTAGTACATCTCTTAAGTGAACTCCTATGTTTACTGGTCTACTATAGTACACATTTTTAACACTTAAATTTTGTTCAAATAAAGCATACATGTCTTTACAAATACCTAAACATATGAAGTTCATAATTTTTATTGATGGTCAATGGTCATATGCTTCTAATCCCCCTCTTCTAATTCACCCAATATCTATAAATCCTTTGGCACTTCCTTATCACCTAACGGTCCCAATTCTATCTCTCTACCTGGCTTTCTGGTTTGCTTGCCTCAACTTCTATGTCGACACGCAACATCTCTGACCACCTGAGGAATTTGCTCTGCTCAGCCTTCCCTAATTTTTTTTTTTCACAAAACACATGAAATCTAAAGGACTTCAATTGAATTGACTTCCCTCAATTCAAAATGCAGACTCATTTTTGTGTGAAAAATGTCAAGTGCTAGGGCAATCCCTTGGGCAAAATGAACGCTCTAGCATGCCTGGGTGTTGTCCTCCTGACACAAGCCCCAAAGAACGAAACATGAATTCTGGTCACATTTATTTATTAGTACACCATGATACCAGATAATTCTCAATTTGTGAATATGCACTCAATGGGATGTAGCTGGAATCTAGTCTCCCTTCTCCATTTCTGAAAACATTTCACCCTTTCAAATTCTCATGAAGGCTTGTTTTTTGTCATTTCCACAGAGTCAACTCTCCTGTTACTTTTTGTTTTTCTTTTTGGGTCACACCCAGCGATGCACAGGGGTTGCTCCTGGCTCTGCACTCAGGAATGACTCCTGGCGGTGCTCCGGGGACCATATGGGATGCTGGGAATTGAACCCGGGTCAGCTGCATACAAAGCAAACGCCCTACCCGCTGTGCTATCACCCCAGCCCACTCCTGTTACTCTTTTCTCACATCTCTGCACACAGTCCCTGGACTATTCTATTGTTCTTCATAAAATGCCTTTCTTTTTTAAAAAAATATCATATTTTTAATTTTAATGGTATTGCTCAAAATCCTCCCAGTGCCTTCTCTATACATAAAAATCAATACAGTATTTAAAGTGTTCATCTATATTGTTTAAACATTTTTATCATTGTACCCTCTTATTCTAGTTGTTACCCGACAAAAATTCCCTGCATATTTCGTATTCTTGTTCTTTAAAGAGAAATTCCTTTTCTCTGTGTTTTCCCATACTTTTAATTTCCTCCAAGCAAGAGATACTTGCTTGTTCTTTTTTTTTTTTCTCTAAGGGATATGCAAGGGGAGTCCACTTCTCCACCATTTTCTTTTCTTTTATATGGAATCATTATCAGTTAAAGAGCCTTTCTAAGTCCCTATACTTTTTTCCTGTACCAACAGATTCATTCATTTGTTTGGTCATTTGGGGAGGCTCAATTCAGCTGTTGCACAATCTCTTAGGAGCAGTCTGTCTGCAGAGAAGGATAATCTGCTCCCTGGGAAACTAGTTCTGAGGGGTAAGCAATTTTGCTGAGATGGGCAAATGCTTGCTTCTGGGATTTGAACAAAATCATTTGTTGCTTCACACTGACCTGATTCTCTACCTAAGTAAATTTTCAGTAATAAATACTAACTCCGTTGTTGTATTATTCAAACTTTTAAGATCCAGGTGAGTAGAAGAAACGGAAGTAAGAGTGGCCTATGGGTTATTTGACCTCATGATCCTCCAAATTATCATGTCTCTTCCTCATTAACTATAATTATCCACCTAGCACAGGGTATTAAATGACTTGGAAATTTCAGTGACTTAAATTTATTTTTAAATACAGATAGGGATTGACTTCTTGGGCCATATCCTGTCATCTAGAGTAATAGTCAATATTTACAGGGGAGCTGACAGAATCAGGAATAGGGATCAATTTTCGAATCATAAATGTTTTTCTTGGGGTTAGAAAGATAGTACAGCAGTTAGGGTATTTGCCTTGCACATGGCTGACGCAGGTTCAATTCCCAGAATTCCATAAGGACCCTGAGCACCGCCCGGAGTGATTCCTGAGGGCAGAGTCAGGAGTAACCCCTGAGCATCACCAGGTGTGACACAAAAAGAAAAAAAAAAGTTTTTCTAATTTGCATTAACTACAGAAGTAGATCACAAAACTCAACTTCATTTGCATCAGATTTTAATAAAAATGAGCTGGCATGTGCAATAAATACTTGGTGCATAAAAATGAAAGAATAAAGAAAACAGTCAATAAGGAATATATACTTGGTCTGAATTTATGACTCTCAACCATTCATACTGCACATCCACTTATGTATTTTAAAACTGTGGAAAGTTGGAATGATGTATACTTCATTATGAAAAACCATTAAGTTAATATGTTTTTAAAAGTAAAACTGTTTTCTCATCGTAGACAAATTGACTACTCCAAACACTCTGATGCTTTCACGAAACCCTGTAGGATCTAATTTTGCAAATGGGACCTCCAACAAGTGAGCCATTTCACCCTCGGAGTGTTCTTTGCTCAACCTGGCTCCCCACAGGGTCACTGTACTCACAAAGCACTTAGATTACATTAAAAATCTGCAGAAAGTGGTTTGATTTTATGAAATAAAATAAAAGCAAAATAATGACAGGCTTTTCCATTAGAACTGAAAGAATAAGAAAGCAAACTTGCTCACCTGAGAACACATCAAGTCTTGTAGCGCCTGCATCTCTGAAAACAATAAAACATATCACTGCTTCAGTAAGAAATTATGTTTGAAGAAATTACACTAATCGGAATTGCTTATGTGAGGTATAACATATTGCCAGGTAGCAAACAATACAGTAATTCATTTAAATTACTTCAGAAACAATTACTAGGATGTTTCCCTCTGCATTTATATACCAAGACCAATGATCTCTCATCATTTGAGAGTGTTACAAAGACTGAAACTCTGGGCCGGAGCAATAGCACAGCCAGTAGTGCATTTGCCTAGCACACGGCCGACCCAGGTTCGATTCCCAGCATCCCATATGGTCCCCTGAGGACCACCAGGAGTAATTCCTGAGTGCATGAACCAGGAGTGACCCCTGTGCATAGCCAGGTGTGACCCAAAAAGCAAAAAAAAAAGAAAAAAAAACTAAGACTGAAACTCATAAATTAAAAAGAATCGATGTGACCTAGTGTAGTCACACAAAAAGCTCATCAAAATATTTCTGATTTTTTTATTAGCTGGAGAATAGTCCAAACATCATAAAAAGATTTTCATGATTTATTTTATAAAACAACCAAACCTGACTAGAAATCCCTAATTTCTAGATAATATATATGTACTATATTATCACATTTTAAAGAATATTTGTGATACTCATGTACATATCATTAAGGAAAGAAATCAAAACAGTAACTGTTTTTTCCTAGGACACACACTTACAAATTATTTGTTATTGTTTATTTATTTGATAGCACAGTGGGTAGGGCGTTCGCCTTACAAGCGGCCAACATGGCCGACCCGAGTTCGATTCCTCGGCCCCTCTCGGAGAGCCCGGCAAGCTACCGAGAGTATTTGATATGCCAGACACAGTAACAACAAAGTCTCCAATGGAGACGTTACTGGGCCCACTCGAGCAAATCGACGATCAACGGGAGGGCCTTTACCTTTTTACCTTATTTATTTGGGGGCCTCTCTAGCCATGCTCAGAGGGTCCAGGGGCTACTCCTGGCAGTACTTGGTGAACTGGGCTAAAGGATTCAATGTGAGAACCCAAGGATGAGAGCTGTTCAGGCCTTGGGGTGCTGAGATCATCAGGTCACCCTGAAAAGATCCAGGGGTGTCCAGAACCACGCCTGGTAGTGCTGGGGAGCCATAGAAGGCTGAGGATGAACTGAATTTCTGTTTATGCAAAACATGTATTCCTTACCCACGTTTCATATCCTTGGCCCCTACCAGAAGGTTTGTGAATTAACTTTCATTGAAATACAATTATGTCCATTCATAATGTCTGTGTTGCCTTCATTCTACAATAACAAAACTGAATGTTTCAACAGAGAAAACATGGCCCTCAAAGATAAAATTATTTATCATCTTGACCTTTACACAGTATTCTGATTTCCACTCCTATGTAATGAGATTATTGGTGAGTTTTAATTTTTTCTCAGTTCTCTCTAATTCACAGATATGATTTGCATAAATTCATTTAATGCATTTTAAAAGATTTCACTAAAAATTATGTTAAGAAAACGTTCTAAAGAAAAGCAAGAGTCATATCTTAGCTTCAATATCAAGAATGTGGAAAGGAGGAAAACGATGAGATCTCAGCTGGTATGGAAAGAATGCTGAGGAAAGGTGAGAGTCTTCAAGGAAGTTCAGAATAAAATATAAAAAAATTTTAAAAATCTAGTGAGTCTCTGCTACATAAATCTGGGTCTCCCCTACTCCCACATAAGTCTAACAAAGTACACTGTAGTTGCTCTCCTAGCATCATTTCAAAGTTCGTTTGCTTGTTCCTCTCTACCCCATTGCTGCATCGAAGCTGAGATTCTGGTTACCACTGCCATTTTTTGAGCATTTTCTATGTGTCAACAAAGCACTGAATAAAATATTAATGCGCCTTTTCTCCATGTTTAAAACAATCCCAGGACACTGAGGTATCACTATTTCTGTCATACAATCATACATCGTACAAAGTATCACATGCACAGCAGCAATAAATGTCACTGTACTGAAATAGTTTTCAGAGAGTTTCTTCATAACATAATTCACTGGGATAAGAAACATCACAACTATACACCTTTACAGCAATTTTTGGCATTTTATAACGAGCTTTGTACTTTAGACAAAGTAATTTCTTTCTAAATAGCTATTTTATTACCAAAGAGCTCTAATTTTGGAGAAGAAAAGATAGCAGGCAAAATAGACAAATGTTAAGTGAAATGAATCAGAAAAAGAGGGACAGATATAGAAAGATTGCACTCATTTATGGAATATAAAGTAACAGAATGGGAAACTAACACCCAAGAATAGTAGAGATAAGTACCAGAAGGATCACTCCACAGCTTAGAAGCCTGCCTCACATGCTGGGAGAAAAGGCAGATCAGATAGAGAAGGGACAACCAAGTAAAGGGTGCTAGGAGGACCCGCTCGGGATGGGAGATGCGGGCTGAAGGTAGACTATAGACCAAACATGATGGCCACTTAATAACTTTTGCAATAGAAACCACAACACCCAAAAATAGAGAGCTAAAGGGAATACCCTGCCACAGAGGTGGGGCAGGGTGGAGGGGACAGCGTGGGGGGGGGGGGGAGGGATGCTGGGACCATTGATGGTGGAAAATGGGCACTGGTGGAGGGATGGGTACTCAATCATTCTATGACTGAAACACAAGCACGAAAGTTCGTAAACCTATAACTGTACCTCATTAATAATTCACTAATAAAATAAATAAATAAAATGTTTTCTTTCAGAGTTACAAATGTCAGGTTGCTGAAAATAGATGTTCAGAGGAGCCAGGAATCATTTCCTTGACCCTAATCCTGTTCGTTCCTTCTTAGCTGACTTTGTGGTTCCTCTGACCAATCAACTTGATTCTTTTACTTCTCTTCCCTCCATTTCTTGATGGCGTGATTCTTTCCATTCTTCAGTAAAGAAGTAACATAACAGAAGGAGCAAGTGACTTTTTATGTATGGTTGAACATCACTACTATACAAGAAGTTCGTAATGGTTAATTAACTGATTGTATATCGTCATCCCATTACAAAATGGGACAAAGTAAAAAACTGAAAAATAGCTATAGACCATTAAAGGGAATCCGGGCTTTCCCACTAATATTCCTGACCTAATAACCACAAACTACTTCTGACTTTGCTTTCTGCACAAAAGGCAGGTAAAATTTTCTGTAATAGGAATATCACTGTCACTGTCCTCCAGTTGTTCATCAATTTGCTAGAGTGGGCCCAGTACCGTCTCCATCGTGAGACTTGTTGTTACTGTGTTTGGCATATTGAATACACCACCGGTGGGTGTATTAAACTGGCAGAACCTCCTGTCCCCATGCCAAGCTGTCTTCACTGGAGCCCCTTGGAGGGGGCTGGGTTGAGTCTCCCTCCCCACCCCAAGCAGAGCCCCGGCAGCTGAAAACTTCCAGAACCCAGCCACAGTCATGCTCAAGGCCACTCTCCACACACTCGGAGCCTCACGCATGAAAGAACCAGCAGAGGAACCCAGGTACGTGAGACCCGTGGCTGAAATCTCAAAGCCTGCTCAGATAGGGACTGGGCCTCCTCCACCCAGATCCTCAGTTTTCCAGTAGCTTGACAGTCACACCCACAAACTGCCCCCAATGCCATGTAATCTCATCAACGACCTACATCAAGATAAAATAAAGCTCCCAGAAGAGAGGGATGCAGTATTTCCTAGAGTGTGCGACATCTTATACTCTAGCCCACTGATATAACTAAAGTAGCACACATTTGTTTGGTTTTAACATACTTGCTTATATTCTCTTATATCGGGCTTAATATACTACCCTCTTATTGTAGTGGAAAGATGCTTGCTGGTGGAGTGGGTGTTTAAATATTATCTGTAATGAACTATTGTGAACTACTTTATGAAAATTAAAAGTATAAAATTGAAAAAAAATTTTTTTCCTTAAACATAAATATCTTTGACAGAGACAACATAATGGACCAGGGCCATTCTAGAGCCAGACATCAATGTGTTGTAAAGATGGAGTAATGACTAAATATCCACGTGAAAGCCTGCAATTCATGCACATGGTTATTAAAACAAAGCAGAGGTCTAATTTACTTGCACTCCAAGTTTGGTCATAAATACAAAATAAATGACGACAAATAATTTCTTTTTCTAACTGTTCTTTTTTCCTTGATTTTATAGAAAATCAAGTCAGAACATTCTAGATAAGGGGGTAAATGTACATCAACTTTTTAATATTAAATGTACTTAGTTCTTATTTCTACTTGTGACGTTCTTGCCATAAGTTTTTCTCATAGATAAGCCTTACCTTGCATTGTCCAGCAATTCAGCCAGTGCTCCAAAAAGAAAACTGTGAGTAGTGCTAAGAAAAAAAAGAGAAAAAACCGAAAGCTAAATGAACTCTGTAAACAGTGTAAAAGGTAAGACATTTGCAGACAAACTTTATCCTGTTCTAGACATATAATCAATTAAATGGTTATTCTAGAAACAGTTATTTCAGCATAGTCAAGAATCTGAAGTACTGAAGTAGAAGCATTCCATTACAAAACCAAGACTAAGAACAACAGTGCCAAAACATCCTGCTACTAATAAGACAGATTTTGAGGGCCTTTCGTCACTTAGAGATAATTTAAATTCTTTAAAATTGCTTTATAAGCATTTATTCAAATGCTTATGGCAAATTTTTCATTAATATTTAAGTTCAAATTGTTCCTGGAAGAATAATTCTTTTGGGGTTTTTGGGCCATACCTGACAGTGTGGGATGGAGCAAGAGCACAGCAATTAGGGCATTTGCATTGCACGCAGCTGACCCGGGTTCGATTCCTCCATCCCTCTCGGAGAACCAGGCAAGCTACCAAGAGTATCCTACCCACATGGCAGAGCCTGGTAAGCTACCCGTGACATATTTAATATGTCAAAAACAGTAACAAGGCTCACAATGGAGACGTTATTGGTGCCCGCTCGATCAAACTGATGAACAGTGGGAAGACAATGCTATAGTGCTTCAGTGCTACCTGACATTGTACAGTGCTTACTCCTGGCTCTGGATTCAGAGATCACTCCTGGCAGTGCCTGGGGACCATATGAGATGAGAGACCAAACCTGAACAGGCCACATACAAGGCAAATGCCCTACCCACTGTACCATCATTCGACTCTGGTTCTGAAATGTTTTTATGAAAATTCTGGTCCTGGAAGCCTGGGGTGTAACTCAATGTAGGGCACATGTTTTGTATGCATGAGACCTTGGATTCTATCCTCAGTATGCCTATAAAATAAATTCTGGCTCCCACAGAATGCCATAAAATCTAACTAGAGGAACTGGCAAGGGTTCCCAATTTGTATCTCTAATCTATATTGTTCTGTGGAGTGAAAATCTACTACTTCAATAACTTCCTGGATTACCTACAGTCACTTTGTCCTATGCCTGGTGCTGGGTAACAGAGTAAACTTGAATACATCTCTCTTTATAACACTAAATGTTGATGACATTAGGCTGCCTTCAGGGTGCCGTGCTTGCTTTTCATTTCCTGATGTGAATATTTTAGTAAGCAATATTATCACAGCATTAAGGGAAGATTCAGTATGCGATTTTCTTTTTAGATTTAGTAAACAGGTAACAGAAGCAAGAGACCCATTTATCAAAAAAATGCTCATTTATACATAAAAAAAGATTATCTATAATGTCTCACAGACTTTAGATACCTTAGGCCATAGAACAACATGTTAACTTAAATTTTATCTTTTAAAATACATTTATCTTATTACATTATGTTACAGTTTTGTTATAAAATTAAATAATATATTATACAATTATTGCATTACATTGAAAATTTAAAAGTTTCTTTGGAATTTTAAACTTCAAATACTTAATGATGAGTAATCTACTTAAGTTAGCTTTCAAATTTTTATCGTAAAATCAGTACTAAATACTAAATTCTATCTATAAAAAAGTAGGCTTAAATAAAAATTACCTAGTAAACTAAAATCTAAAGTAGGGGGCAGTAGAGATAGTATAGGAGGTAATATGTTGTTTGTCTTGCATGTGGCCAACCCCAGATTCCCAGCACCATATAGGATCATCTGAACACTACCAGGAGTGATCCTTGAACACAGAGTCAGGAGTAAACCCCAAGCACAGCCAGATGTGCACACTCTTCCCTCCAAACAAATAAAATCAAATGTATGTAACGCTACCAAAAGTAATATACACATTCAGTGCAATTTCTAAAGGAAAAAAAAAAGCAAAAGCTGAAACGAACAATTGTAAAATTTGCATGGAATTACAAGAAACCCAAATAATTGAGAGAAAAGAAGACATTGTAATTGCTCGTTTCAAACTATAATATGAACTATCATCATGAAAAAAAATGATGTGTAACTAGAATAACAACAAAAAAAATAGGTGTTCTATAACAACAAAAAAGTGATATAAGAAAGAGATAGAACAAATGGCACAGAAACAAATCCACATACCTATGTATATTTGTTCTATGATAAAGAAAATAAGACCACAAAATGGAAAGGAAAATCTCTAAGAAATAGTGCTGGGAAAACTGGAAAGCCACAAGCAAGTAATAATAAAGAAAAAGTAAAGAAAAATCAAAAAAACTAGAACACTACTAACATCATATACATAAAACTAACTCAAGATAGACTAAAGACTTGCATAGTCCACCTGAAACCATAAAACAGAGGAAAAAAAAAGAGATGATTCTCTCCAGGATCTCAATATGACAGATGTATTTGGAGACACAACTCCTGTATCAGGAAAAACAAAATCAAGAATAAACAAATGATATAGCATCAAATTAAAAAGCTGGATGCAGTAAAAGAAACGGACATACACACAAAAGAAGTACAGAGACAAACAGTTGGCAAAGACATCTGCACATATACATCTGACAAAAGATTAATGTCCAAAGTTACAAACATCTCCAAAATTTTGACAAAATTTGTAAATGAGCAATGGAATTGAGCAGATACTCCTCCAAAAAAGAAACAGAGATGGTCCACAGACACATAAAATAAATTGCTGAGTATCAATCATTACTAAAGGGGGCTGAAGTAGGGTAGGGAATTTGCCTTGCATGCGGCCAACCGGTATTCAATTTCCAGCATCCCATATGGTCTCCTGAGCACTGTCAGGAGTAATTCCTGAGTTCAGGAGACAGGAGTAATCTCTATGCATCACCAGGTATAAGCCCCCCCCCAAAAAATCATTACTAAAAATTATATAAATCAAAACCAAAAGGAAGTATAGCCATACATCCATGAGATATATTTAAAAAAAAACATTGGGGACTTTATCTGGTTTACTTTTTGAAAAGTTCATCCTGTCACCTTTCAGGAAAATGGATCATAGGGAACACTATTGTCTAGCAGGGAAAAAAAAATTAAGAGGCAACGTGGAAGAAGGGAAAGTCAGTGGTTTGGACTCAAGTCAATGAAAATGGAGATGGAGAGAAATGGGGGATATTTAAGACACGATGAAAGTTATCATTAAGAAGACTTGATGGTAGACCAAATGTGGTGTGAAGTAAAAGGAAATATGAATTAAACCCGTTTTCACTGAGGGAATTCTCTGAAAATCTGCAGGAGTGGGAGGATAAGAAGTGGTAATATTGAGGGTTTAAGGGGTGATGTGGAGAGGAAATCGAAAATGCCAATTTGTATCTTCTTTTGAGGTTGTTGCTTCATGCTGCTGTCACTTCTATTACTGAGTTATCAGACCACCAATGGGTAATGGGATGAGAACAAGGGGGATTAACAGCAGAACTACAAAATCAGGTTCTAAAAGTTTCCATAGATAAAAACGCATGATCCTGCCAGCAATGCACTTGTATTTTTACTTAAATTCACTTTAAAAATATTTCTTTTATCTTCTACCTCAGTTAGCTTTGAACTACCTTGTCCCATCTTTCCAATTTGAAATGACTGGCCATGGCAGAGAGATAAAAAACAAAGAATCTGTTGAGTATTGTCTGTTTTGTTCTGTTTTTTTGTTGTTGTTGTTAAAAATTACACTGCGCATCTCTTAAAGCAAGGGTGGGGGGCTTTCTCTGGGTTTCTTTTTCACTCTTCTGTTACCATGATTTCCAACCTGAAGCTCCCCTTCTATGTCAATCGTTTCTTCCAATAAATCCGGATTACCAAGAGATTCCAAAAAAGTCAACAGAGTAGTGTAAATAACACAATACTCTGTGCTAGACTTGGCTATGCTGGGAATGACAGAGGAACAGAAACCCTCCGACATCTGCCTCTGTCACCGGAGTATCTGAAACACCTTTTGAGTAGACAGATGGGATCTGGACCCAACCGAGAAGGAAGAGCCCCCTAGTAATAACTAAAACGTGCTGCTCTTCAGAGAATTCACAATTCTGAAACTACTCGGGAGCTCCAAGAGGTTGGAGTCAATAGAAAAAAAAATACTCTGTTAGTAGGGGGGACTGAGAAATGACTGGAAAATTCGCTAGAGTGAGCCTCCTGCTAAGCTGCGATGAAACCGTTTTTGCTAAATAAATGTGGGTCTTCCTACCACTTTGCCAGTGGGTGTAATTGAAGAGCACCAAACCGTTTAGTCTGGTCCAGAATACCTATCAACACCAATTTTCTCACTCTTTTCAAAGGGCACCTACAATTTATTAATTATTATTATTATTATTATTTTAAACCACACCAGGCTGTGCTCAGAGCTTGCTCCTGGCTCTGCATTCAGGAATTAATTACCCCCGTGGGCAAGGCAAACGCCTCATCCGCCGTACTCTCTGGCCCTCAATTTGAAATATTTCTATAAATCGAAGATCCCAAACCGTTGAAAGTTTGATTTCTCTAGACAACGCTCTAGACCCTGCCCCACTTGCTTTACTAGAGATACACTCACGAATTGGCGTGGATGAAATCCAGATGCAGCTGGGCCCGCTGCAGAGAGGCATACTTGTCGCCCATGTCCTCCGAGGCGACCCCGGAACACCTCGGCGACGACCCTCGGCGCAGCTGTTCACCCCCGTGACGCCCCCGCCCCAGCGCCCGCCCACGCCCGTGCGCAGACCCGGCTCCCCCTGGCGGCCTGCTCGAGAAGCTCACCCTAGGCCGGCTGGCCGTGCCCCGCCCCCACCACCACCCCCGCAAGGTGTCCCTTGAGTCTAGGAGCCACTGCCTGAGAACTCTGCAGCCACGTTCCTCTCCCAAGTGGAGATTTAAGTTCATTTCCTTGGAGTCGAAACAATAATGCATCAGGGCAGGGTGTTTGCCTTGCACACGGCCAACCCGGGTTCGATCCCTGGCATCCCATAAGAACCCCCAAGCCCGTCACTGTGTCCCCACTGCTATCCATCCCCTCCCCCACATACACACACACATATACACACACAACGAAGAATCTTGGACTGGTAAGTCAGGGGTGTAGGGAGGCTGAATTAAATAGTTCCGTTTTATTTTTGCTTTTTTTTTTTTTTTTTAAAACTCAGCACCAAAGAAACACAGTATTTCTGGTGTTCATGAAATTAAGATAAGTGTGAGGAAAGAAAGAAAACTAACGGCAACCGAATAGATTTTGGAGTTTGCTGTGAAACGGATTATTTGAGACCTTTTTTTCATCTGACAGCTGATATTCAACTATATGATGCTGGAGTCTGACTGAAGCAGTAGATGTTCTGTATTTTCCAAAAGACTAAAGAATGCAGGCGAAAAATGGAGAGAAGGGGGTTGAAGATAAATAATATGAGAGGATTGAACACAACGGCTACCCAAATGGTGTTAATCCCAAGACACTGAGTACCAAAATCATCCAAACCCAATAAAAACAGAATTTGCCAAGATGTTGTATGGGAAGAACCTGATTGAGAAGAAAAGTAGTTGATCAAGTAAACCTCTAAGAAATTTCAAATCCTGGTTTCATCAGAACTATATGACTCACAAAGACAGTACTCAGCATATAATTTATATAACAATGCAGTTCTAAAGTGAGAAATAAACATCATTCAAAAAATAACTTGAATTAGATGTATTTATGATTTCTGGGCATCTTAAAGGAATAGAAATCTTCAGAAAAGAAAAAAAAAACCAGTTTTGGGATAGTCATTCTGCTCTTAAAGATTTTTAGCAACTACATTTAAAATAATCAAGAGAGGAAAAGAGAATATGAAAAGCAAGCCAAAGGAACATGATGCTCTAACTTTAATTTGAAAACTAAAAGTAAACATAAACATTTCAAGTAATTTTCCTGATTGCATGTTTGTCTTAACAGCGGCTGATATGGGGTGTTCTGAGAGCAGAATTCTCTTTACTAAGAAATTGAACTGCTTTCCAATTTTTCCTTCCATAGAATTTTATAAATAAGATAGTTTACTTCCATTTCATGAGTAAGAAAAGCTTGATAGGCCTCTTCTGGATTTATTTTACTACCCGAATTTCCAGCTGCTATCTCCAAGCAATTTACTATGGGAGGGCACAGAAGCCACTAGCCTATAATTAGAACAGGCTATAATATCTAATTTCTACCAGAGGGAAGGGTGTGATTATCACAGAAGCATTCATTCCAATAATCCTCACAGAGCCCTCCTACACTAAATGGCCAATCCCAAAGTACTAGACGGCACCAGTTACCCTTGATAACAGGCATGCAGGGGATCTGCTGGATGAGGCTGGAGAGGCCCGAAAGTAATTGCACACAATTTACCAAAATATTTTTACCTTTCCCCATTTCAACTCTGTGCCACCCTTCTGTTATAACAGGAGAAGCAAATCCTATTCCACTTTAAGTCTTGCTTTTGAGGCAGCTCAAATAGAGAAGGGAACACCAAGTAAGAGGTGTTTGGAGAACCCGCTCAGTTGGGAGATGCGTGCCAAATGTAGACTATAGATTGAACACACTGGCCACTTAATGCCTCTTGCTAACTACAACACCCAAAAGGAAAGAGAGAATAAAAGGAAATTCCCTGCCACAGAGGCGGGGGGGGGGGGGGGGGGGAAATGGGGGGGGGTGGGAGGGATACTGGGATCATTGGTGGTGGAGAATGGGCACTGGTGGAGGCATGGGTACTCAATCATTGTATGACTGAAATGCAAACACGAAAGTTTGTAAGTATGTAACTGCAGTTCATGGTGATGCACTTAGAAAAAAATAAAATAAATTAAATTAAAAAATTTTTTTAAAAGTCTTGCTTTTGAAATTCTTGCCTTATTTACCTCCCTCAAGATCCATTTTAGTATTATTTCATTATAAGAATACTGGAGGAGTGGAAGGAAAGGAATTTTTAGTTGAGAACATTGTTTTCTTATCTTGTGGTCAATGCTTATCATTTTTTGTTGTTTTGCTTTTTAATATTTTTTGTTTGGGGGCCATATTGGGGATGCTCAGGGCTTACTCCTGGCTCTGTGCTTAGGGATCCCTACTGGTGGTGCTCAAAGGACTCTATTTGGTACCATGGATTGAAAATGAGTTGACCATATGGATGGTAAGTGCATTCTCCACTGTGCTATGACTCTGGACCCTCGATCCTCATAATATACTTTTTGTTTTCATAACAAAACATTTCAGCTTTGCAGTATTTGCATGCTTACCATGAATAATGGTTCAAATCTTTAAAATTATACCACCCTCTCTCATTTAACATGTTGTCCATTGTCAAAGGCACTGCAATTTGTGTAAATTAAGCCACGTTCAAGTGTGAGTGGTTAAAGGTATGTACCATAACTGTTCATCGAACAAAGATTTCATTCCTCTCTACAACCTGCTTGTACTCAAGACAAAATACATAAACATAAGCTGGTGTTCATACTCACCAACTATGAACTATAGGTAATAAAAATAGCTATTTCCTAAGAACAGAACTCTACATAGAAAGTGACTCTGACAAGTAGACGTGTTCTAATGGCTCAAAAAGAAAACACTATTGTATCAATAATGTGATAACTCTATTAACAATATTGAAATAAATCTGAGAACAATTTATTTTCATATTATCTCTTTTGTTGCATTCATTTAAGACAAACTGGTTAAAATATTTTCATCTCTTCAATCTACTCCATATTAGATAATGGAGTTTTTGTTATATCACCTCTCAGTTATTTTTGTAACTGGAAGTGATTATATTTTATTTATGAAACACTGTGGTAAGCAATTCTGGATACTGTGGTAAGTTTAATGTCCTGAACTTTATTTAAAAAATGAGAATGGAGCAATAGCACAGTGGGTAGGGCGTTTGCCTTGCACCCAGCTAACCCGGGTTCGATTCCTCCACCCCTCTCATAGAGCTCGGCAAGCTACCGAGAGTATCCTGCCAGCATGGCAAAGCCTGGTAAGCTCCCCGTGCTGTATTCGATATGCCAAAAACAGTAACAAGTCTCACAATGGAGACGTTACTGGGCCTGCTCAAGCAAATTTATGAACAACGGGAGGACAGCGCTACAGTGAGAATTGCCAGAGAGATAGTATGAGAGTAAGGTACTTGCATTTCCCACAGCAAACCCCAGTTAGATCCCTAGTACCATGTATAATTCCTGAGCCTCCCATCCCCCAATGTGATCCCTGAAGTCATAGTCATTAGTAAAACAGTGTATGAGTGTGCCCCAATAGACAAAGCAAAACAATTAAAGAATAATGGCCTTAAGATTATATGGTATATGGTATATCAGAATATATGGTAAAGTCTTTAAATTGCCTAACCCGCTAGCCATTTTACCAATCCTCCTTTCACCCTTAGAGCCAGCAATTTGCTTTCCTAAACACTCCAGAGAAAATTATGGCCACAAGATTCAATTCTCATAAATAAAATATACTAAGGAGTATAAATCATATTAATCACTTAATCAGTTAACTTCCTGTTAATCGTCTATTTGCTCGAGCAGGCGCCAGTAACGTCTCCATTTGTCCCTGTCGCGTGCTAGTGTGGCCCAATGGCATCTGTTCGCTCTAGGAACATGAAGAGCCTCAAACCGATCGTTCATGATCTTGACGAAGAAGTCTGACCATCTGGAAGGTGGGCAGCCACACGGTCTTTTGACATCCCATGGAATCCAGTTGGTAACAGCTCTAGTCCAGCGGTCGTCTTTAAATCTCATTACGTGACCAGCCCATCTGATTTTTGACACCTTGGCAAACGAGACAGCGTCCCTGATTCTTGATCATCGACGGAGGTCAGAACTCCAGATTCTTTCTCTCATTTGAGTGAAACATGATATTCCAAGCATGGCTCTTTCAATTCCTCTTTGGGAGACCCAAATAGTGTTCTCATCCTGCTTGCGTAGGGCCCAGGTCTCTGAGGCATATGTTAATGCGGTGGAATCAAAGAGATGTGCTGGGAGCCAGAGTTTCTTCATCCTCTTAGCTATTTCTTTGATGCTCTTGAAGGCGTTCCAAGCCGCTCTCTTCCTCCTCTGCAGCTTGGGTGCCAGGTCATTTGTCATGGTGACTTCTCGGCCTAGGTACACATAGCTGTTGCATTCAGAGATGGTTGTTCCATTGAGAGCGAATGGGGCATCAGGAACGAGGCTGTTTCTCATGAATATTGTCTTCGTAAGATTCAGCTGTAGTCCTACCTTTCCACACTCACGGTCAAAGTCGGCCAGCATTTGTGCCGTTTGGCTGATGTTTGGTGTTATTAAAACAATATCATCAGCAAAGCGGAGGTGGAGTAGTTGCCGACCATCTATCTTCACTCCCATTCCTTCCCATTTCAGTTGTCGCATGATGTTCTCGAGGATGGCACTGAAGAGTTTCGGTGAAATGGTATCACCCTGCCGAACCCCTCTCTTGACATCAATGATTACTTCTTTGTAGAATGGTGAGATCCTGGTAGTGAATTCGCAATACAGCTCACGGAGGATCCTGATGTATTGGGCTTGAATGCCCTGATTGGCTAGGGCTTCAATGACTGCTTCCATCTCAACAGAATCAAAGGCCTTCTTTAAATCAATGAACGTTAAACAGAGCAGCATCTTGAACT